TACACTGTGCCAGGCAGTCTTATGTACTACTATGATCTCCATGTCATCATTGTGTGTAGCTACCACTTACTGTGTGTAATGCAGCGCTTGGTGAAATAGATACTATCACTACCACTTTACAAAGGGTGGAAGTGGGTTCTGAGGCCCTGAGAGGTTCCAAAAATCTCTTGATCTTGAGGCATACCCAGCCAGTGGGTGGTAATTGTGATTATGTACCAGAAGTCCAAGCTGCTTCTCATTTTGAGATTTACTCATTTGTCATTTTAAAATGTACCCAAATGAAAGACAGATGGGATGAAAGACAGAAATTTTTAATAGCGCATCTGATGCTTTGCCTTATGTAGAGGAGGTTCAGTTTTCGTTTGTTGAACTAATTCAGACATGTAAAAATGTGTCCCATGCAAGCAGATGGACAGATGCATGGATAATGTGAAAACCGTGAAGATAAAAACTGATTTCCAGAAAAAATTCCGAAGTGAGGAATGAGGAGCTGAACTTTGTCAGGTCTTTAATTTTAAGCTGCAGATCGTGAGTGTGGAATTCCTTGTGAAACAAGAGCAGATTGGCTATATATTATATAAAGTTCTGATAAAGGAATTTGAACTTGGGGTGTCCTGGAAGGTCTGAAGCTCCCATTCATTCCAGCAATTAGTTATTTGTTACCTCGAGTGTTTACATTACCGTTTTGGACAAATTTGTTCACTGTGATATCAGGAAGAAGGATGTGCATGGAGGGCCTGCTCTCAAGACATGGATCTTTCCCTTGGGATGGCTTCCGGCTCAGGTTCAAGCCCACTGTCCTGATCCTGGACTCTGAGTCCTGCAGGGTAGTGGTGTCTTAAAGGGTAGAAAAGCTGACATCCTGCTATGAAGAGGGGCTAAAGGATAAATTCAGAGTGAAAGTCCAGGAATATGGGGACTCGGTGTACCCTGTAACAGCACAGTTAATGCTGGAGAGCTGCTATCTGGCTACTGAGCTGTTTCATGTGCAATTTTATCATGAAACCCAAAGGCACTGTCCTTTCACAGACTCACAGTTCCTCAGTGACTTTTACCTCCAGAGATCGCCCTGTGTTCTTGAGAATCACCACGTTTTGAAAATTTGTCTTCTCTCATTGCCAAATGCCACAGCCCCTTTTCCCTGTTCCCCTTTCCACTGTGGCTCCCCAGAGAATCAGAGCTGGTTTTCAAGGGTGTTACAAAAGACCCAGCCCAATGGCAACATGTTTCCTGGCCAATTCATGCCCCCAGCAGAATAGGAAACCTTCATCTTTAGCTCTCCAATCTGTATGTTTCTATATGTTTTATAAGTAGCAACAACAACAACTACAACAACAACAATAATAAGAGATGGGAAAGTCGTATTATGATCAGCATGCAATGTCAGAGGTTGGCAGAAAGGCTACATTTGCCTGGGTTGAGGCCAGTCAGACTGGTGAAGGAAGGTAGCAAGCATGGCACTGCCCTTGAATGCTGTGTCATCTGCTTTTAATGGTCTTATCAGCAGAACAAAACTAATAAATCATGTGCTGCTAGCACAAGAACCAAGTGCTTCCCTCTGAGCCAGATGATTCCATTGTTTAGCTGAGATACCTCAGTGAGATTGTAAACACGGCATCGCCTGTCAGGGAGAGATGTGCGCCTCTTGTTTTTAAAAAGCAATTTATTCAGTTTCTTTTATATGCCATAAAATTCACTCACTGTAAGCATAAAGTTCAATGATGGTTTTCAGTAAATTTACCAAGTTGTACAGTTAGAACATTTCCAGTATCCCACAAAGATCCCATGTGCAGTCAACTTTTGTTCCCACCTCCAACCCCAGGCAACCACTGATCTGTTTTCTGTCTCAATATATTTGTTTTGTCGGGGCATTGTATACACTTGGAATCATACAATAGTGTTCTTTTGTGTCTGACTTCTTTCACCTAACCTAATGTTTTTCAGATTCATCCATGTTGTAGCGTGTTGCTAAATAGTATCCCATTGTATAGGTTTAGCATATACCATATTGTATTTATTCATTCATCAGTTTATGGACATTTAGATTGCACTTTTTGGCTGTTTTGGACAATGCTCTCCTAATCTGAACTAAAAATGATGGGGTGGTAAGAGCTTGGGATTTGGACAGGAGTTTCAGGTGAGTCTCAGCTCTGGTGTTTACTACCTTAGTTAACTGTAAGATTGTTTTCCTTTGTGCAAATGGTTAATACCATCCCTTTCCTGCTCCTGAAATCATTGTAAGAATCAAGCAAGATGCTGTATGTGGAATGCTTTGTGAGCTGTAAAACACAGAACAAGTGAAAGCTGTTGTTATTAAAGTCATCTTTCTAGAATGTATTAAAATAAATGAGCTGTTTCTCAAGAGTCTTTCCACATTCATAGAATGAATGATTAAACTTTTGAGCTATAGGAAATATTTAGTGTTTCCTTCTATAGACTTGGGATTCTCACCATCTTTTCCTTACTAAAGCCTGTTGTTGAGAAAGGTTTTAAATATCATTCCACTTCTCTTAAATTTACTTGCATTCTAAACCTTACTTTTGATTGTCAAACAAAAGGTTTTGTTTCTTGTTGAAGAGAAAATCTGCAGCTATGCTAGAATCACTGTAGAAGTTGAACTCAGTAAAACAGAAGTTCAGGTTTAATCAGGGAAGCCTCCAATCCATAATTCAATATAGCTTCTTGGGTACTTCAGGTAACTGTGCAGAGCAGAACCCTGATGAAGGGTCTGGGGGCAGAGCTGAGCTGGGTTGAGGGCCTTGCCAGGAGTCAAACCTAAGCAAATGTTACCATCCTCCAGTCAAAGGGGATTAGAATTGTCACTTCACTGAAACAATATTAAACCAATTGGGGTAACTATCACTGAAACAATATTAAACCAATTGGGGTAACTATATCTTTACAGGCATTCAGACATTCAGGAATGTAGATTGTTGACCACTGAATGTCATGTCTAGTTATTTGACTTCTACAAAACATGAAGAAAATACTTTCCCTGAGAAGCCAGTGCCGACTTTACTTCAAACAGAGAGAACCGGATACTGGTATCTCACACCCACTCAATCCCAAGGTAAGTACCACATTTAGCGCCCTCCACACCTTCTACCTTATTCAACACTGTGGGCTGCCTCCAAGAAGTTTTATCTTAAATCTCATTGCGAGATCTGGGATGGAAGACATCCAAGGCCAGAGAAATGGCTGTTCCCAGTTTACTGGAATCTCAAGCACAGAATGTGAGTACCCGTCAAGTGCCTCTGGTAGAATCACTAGCCAATCTGATATTAGAACTCAGTCGCTCCCAGTGCCCAGATTCAAATTACTAGACTGTCCCCTTCCAAAAACAGCAAATCCCCAGACATCTCTAGCACTCCCTGAGGTTGCAAAACACAGGCCACTGAGGTCAAATAAGTATTCCTTCTACACATCTTCTCCCCTGAGAAGCCTTCCTTTTTCAACAATTGGTGATGAGGGATTTACTAGCAAAAGCAGAGGTGGGGTTTTATGTGCTTGGGACAATCCTCTGCTCTTCTCATTCCGTGAATTTTCTCAAAGTATTTATAAATGATAATGAGATGCCGTATACATTCTAACATTATTTTTCGTATTTTCACACATAAGCATGACAATCTGCAGACATCATAAAACCAAGTTTCTTTGCTTTTGCAATTCTGGCAGGGGCACCACCGCTATGTCGTGATAATGGTGAGAACACTGGTTTCACATGCACTCGCTCCACATTAGATACAGTGTTTATATAATTATCTCATGGGTTCAAGATCAGGCAGCTAATAATTGGTTCAAACTCAGGTCTACTTGGCTACAAAGTATGTATTTTCACCTCCTGCACTATATGGCACTGCTAAAATGCTATACTACAGTGCACCAATGTATGTGTAATATATGTATATATGTCATGTATATGCTCTCTGTGTGTATGGAAGTACTGATATGCATATAGTGTTTCATTTTTGGCTTATAAAAAACTTGAAGCAGCTTAGAGTTTTTATATGTTCTAAATAATTTCTGACTTGGAAGGTGACTATATACATGAGAATAATGTGACTTGAAACCAACATTTGGGTAGTAATGTGTGGCAAAAGGTCAATGACAAGGCTTACGTGTGCTCACTGTGTCATAAAAGACTCCATCTTTTTTTGTAGTTTCCATGCTGTCTGACCCACACGTACTGATTTTTCAAAAGCCTGTATCAAAGGCAGTGTTAACCATGAATGTTTGCTTAGCACACTCCTCACATCTTTTGCACTGTCATCCTATTGCCTAGAAACATGTCCTGTGACCGACTGAAATGACTGAACCATGTTCTTCAGGTGGCACTTGATTTTCATGTGCTCATAAAATTTAAGTCAGAAACAGAAATACTCTTTAAAGATTGCCTACGGAAAAACTAAACAAATCACACTCAGATGAGAGGACAGAGCTACTTCTTTCCTTTCAGGCTCTCCGTAGGATACAAAAAAAAAAAAATCCACAGTGACCTCATGCACATCTATCTTGGCAGCATGGGGCAACGTCATCAAAACTCTATCATGGTGATTCCACCACAGTGGCTCAACGCGTACCACTGTACAATGGCTGGCTTTTCATAAGCCTCAGTGGGGAGAAGCATCTGTTGCCCTTTCCCAGATAAAATGACATATTCTAGGAGAAAAAGTCCTGATTAGATAGAAATTAGTTCCCCTTACCACTCAGCCCACTCAAAAGCAAAAGCACTATTAGGAAACTTCAAAATATAAGAAAAAAGATTAAATCCATTTCAGATATAGTGATTGTGTATCTCCTGCTTCACAAGTATCAGAAGAATGACTTATAAAACTGATAACATACACCATGAACTTGTACCTTTACATACAAATATTTCATGAATATATTTACATAAAATACATTAAAAATGTCACAGCTTCAGTGTACTAGATTTAATTTAATATCCGAAGCACTTTGAATGTACTTACACAAAAATCCATTAAAGAAAATGCCAATGCTTTAGTTTATTTAATATCTGAAATATCACATAGCAGACTTACATCCCCAGTATTAAGGTTTGTATTTACTTAGAGCAACACTTACAGATAACAATGCCTTTTAGCCACAATTAGGAGAACAATAGAGGAATCGTGCAATGCTATACACAAAACATTATAGTTTGAATTAAATACTTACAGTTCAATTTATATAAAAATATTATCCTCTAGGGAATTCAGGAAGTTGACACTATAGCTCTAGTTGTACAGGTTTTTTTTTTCATGCTTATTTATCTTTTAAAGATAACTAAAGCTAAATAATACAATTTGAAACATTCACAAACCAATCAGGTATCACCATTGGAAAAATAAAGTAACTCTAATGATAAAAATAAATGTAAGGAAAACACATTACTAAAATTGAAGAAAAGCAAATCTAAATAATTACATGATTAAGGTTACGTAACCAATTCACAGATTCAGAACTATCAGTTTACCATGATAGTGATGAGGTTACTGATTATTTTTGTCTGGGTCTTACACAAAATTTCTCATTCAGTATATTCAACAAATAATTATTGAAACTTTCTCTGTGCTCTAGGGAATGTGTTTGGCTCCAAGAAAACATTGGAAAACAGACCTAGCCCCTGACCTCGTAGAGCTAATAGTCTACTGGGGCAGGCAGATGAGAACATGGGCACCTGTAATACAGCCTGAGAAGTCTGTGGTGGGGCCTCCCATTCTATGGGAAGGATCATCTAAGCTGAGACATGGAGAAGGGGTGGGAGGGGAAGAAGGAGATGGAAAGAGGATTCCAGGCACAGAGAGAAAAAAAATGCAAAGATCCTAAGGTATAAGAGAATACGGTCTATTTCTACAACAGTGGCTCCCAAACAAAGGACCTCAGATATTTGTTGGGCCAGAGTGAAATTTTCACCCATTAATGGGGAAATGAAGACAGTATGGTAGATCTTTTCAAAGCTAAAGTCATTCAATTTTAATAATTGGGTTCAGGACCAACTGGTTTTCTGGGGGGACCAACTGGCCCCTCTTTTATGAAATGACAGTGACAGTAGGTGATAGATTTTAAAAAAAATAGATGAACCTATTTTTAAATTAGAAAAACAAAACTACAACTACAGGTGTATAAAATCTGTAAACCTAGGAATCACTCTTTGAAGAACAGAACTTCTAGCAGGTGTTTTATATGGTTAAAGGAGCGGGGTGAGGGAGAGGTCAAGAGATAGAGCTAAGGAGGAAGGCAGGGATTTAGATCTGGAAAGGCCAGGAAGAACTTTGGACTTTATCCTAAGAGCAATGGGAATGATTTTGAGCAGGGGAGTGAATCCCTACTTAGATTTCTAAAAGATCACTTTGGGATGTTGTGTGTAGAATGTGTGTTAAATGGAACAAGAGAGCAAGAAGGCAGGCCAGTTAGGCAGCGCTATAGTACCCCAGGAAAAAAGAAGATAATAGCTAGAATTAGGGCGAAATCAGTAAGATTGAATAGAAAATGTCTTCAAGGGACAAACTTAACCAGGATGTGGTGATTTGTTACATTGGATAAGAAAAATAGGATGGTCAGGGCTGACGTCCAGGTTTTTCCTTAGGAAACTGACAATACTTGGGCTTAACTAGTGAGCTAAGCTAGAAAGGAGCCTTATTGTGGAGGAAGGTAGTGAGTTCATTTGAGGACATGTTGAGTTTGAGGTGCCTTTGTGTTTAAAAGTCCATTACAATACTTGTTTACATAGGATGAGAGAAAGAGTTGAACTTCAGATATAAATTTTCTAGCCAATAAATTTTGAAACCATAGACATGGATGACATTTCTCTCAGATAACATAGCATAAGAAGAAAACAGGGCTTAAGGCATATACTGACGGGTTGGCAGGAGATAAGCAACACAGAAAGAAGCCAGAGACACGCAGTCGGTCCGGGAGGTGGGAAGAGAGCCAAGAGAGCAAGGTGTCCTGAAAACAAAGGCAAAACCATTTCAAGGAGGGAGCAGACAGCAGTGCCAGATGCTGCAGAAATCAGCTGAAAGGACAGAGGAAAGAAAGCTCATTGAAATTAGCAACGAGGCAGTTGTCAAAGACCTTGAGAGGCTGTGGAGGGAGCTGAAGCCAGAGGATAGTGTGTGCATCTGTAGGCAGGAAGGAGCGCTTTCATGCAGTGTGGGTGGAAAAGAAGGGAAAGAACCCGCAAACTGCTTGGAGATGTGGTTTTGAGAAAGTGGTTCTTGGTTTTATAAACACAGGAGAGATGGATATTGTAGGAGACACCTGATAGGAAGAATTTGAAGACTTGCTGGAAGTGAAGATAATTAATAGAAATTCACATACCAAATATTGACCAACTTCTTTAAAGATGTATTGTTATAAAATTGTTAATGGATTTAAACACCCTTAAGGATGTAAAACGATTCCACAAAATTCTGAATGAATCCCATTTTAAAATATCTTTTAAATCACATTAAAAATATTATTTTTAAACTCACGGCAAATTTAGCTCTTGTCCATAGAGATCATACTCTTTAAATAATATGTATCTTTGGATGGTTGGTGGTAGACGGAGCTTCTCCATTGAGGCTGGCTGGCAGAGTCGCTGGAGTCCCATAAGCCTTCGAATTTTTAACCGGCACAAATGCTTCAGTGAGCAAGGATTCTCTAAAATGTTGGGAAAAAAATAAGCAAAAAATAAAGACAATATTAGTAGATTGACTTGTAAGATACAGACTGTTTTAAAAGTGTCATTCTGAAAAAAAAAAAAAACAAGTATTAGCAACTGGCAATTTTAAAAGAAATTCAAGGTGCAAATTAAGCATCCCAGACCTCTCCTCCAAAATGCAGTCTCCATGAAGACAAACATTTTGCTTTTCCCAGTGTCAGGAAGAGCCTGGCTCATCCTGGTGTTCAGCCGGATATGTTAAATGAATGAATGGAATTTGACTTAAGAAAGCAACTGCTCACTTCTATTTATTTTTTAGAATTGAGTACTATAGAGTTTTATTTATTTACTTCCCTCTCGTCTACCAATCTTTCTGATGCATAATTATCTAGGAAATGTGATGGAAATTATTCAATCTTAGGTTTATTTCAGCACCTGACACCTAAACATTTTATATTTTCAAAAAAAAAAATCTAACATTACTTAAATATCTGATATTGGATTTATTCACAACTCTTTATCTATATTACAACACTGATATATTATCTCGTAGTATGAGCTAGTGAAAAGGCAGCAGAGGACAGGGTTTTAGCTGTGGGCTTTGGACTGTTGGCATGGATTTAAATCCTGGCTCTGCCAGTTAGTATCTGTGTGATCTTGAACTTAACCTCTGGATCTCAGTGTTCTCACCTGTGAAATGTGGATAACAATGGGACCTACCTTGTAGAGTTGTTTGAAGATAAAATAAACTAACTTATGTGAAGTATTAGAAACCTGGTTGGCACTTTGTAACCCCTCAATCGTGAACTATCACTCAACTCAGTAATAAAAAATATCATATTTCCATTGCCTTTGTGATTATAAACAAATTATCTTCTTAAAAAAGTAAAGCAACGTTTTTTAAAAACTACGGAGGCAAAATTATTGTTATTGAAATAGTCAAATAAGACCATCTTTAAAAAATTACATTTATTTTCTTTAAAACTATATTGTCTTACATATGTCTGGAGGAATCCTGACATCCAGTGGTTAACCATGCTCACAGCATTCAACTGACTTCCATTCCAGATGCATGAATGGATGATTCAAACAACAAAACACCTTCCTGGTCTTCTTCTTCCTTAGATTTGCCTTGCTACAGTCATCACAATTGGTGATTCTTTTGTGATAAAAACATATGGATGACTAATCACCAGTTAGAAGCAACCTCTGTTCTGCCTATGGACAGGAATCACAGTGGTATTGGAGAGAGTGGTTTGAAGTAAGACAGGGGTTTCAAATTTGTGCCTTGTTGTTTTCTAGTTACAGAACTTTGGGCAATTCACATCTTTAAGATCTTGGGGTTTGTTTTTCCTCTTACAATCTCCAAAATGTTTTAATATTTTTACTGTAACACAGCTACACACATCTATGGCTTCATGAGTGAATCTCATATTAGTGATTATGAGATGAACATCTGTAATCACCTCCCAGGCTGTAAATAGATGAATTTTCCCAGCCGTCCCAGAATTCCCTCCATAATCTATTGCAATCTTCCTTCCTTCCTCCCCTATAAGTTACCACTATTCTGACTTTTATGATAATCACTTCCTTTATTTTTTATTAATTTTTTAAGATTTTTTTTTTTAAGTAATCTCTACACCGAGCACCGGGCTCGAACTTACAACCCTAGATCAAGAGTTGCAGGCTCTACTGACTGAACTAGGCCAGTGCCCCAAGTAATCACTTCCTTTAGAGCTTCAACATCTAAGTGTGCTATCCCTCCACCATTGTGCTGACAATATTTCTAAAAAATTTGATAGGCTCTTTAAGTCTCTTGATCCACAGGTTCGTCTCTTCATCCTCTTCTCTTTCTTTTGGTTCATCTCTTCATCCCCTTCTCTTTCTTTCAGTTAATCTTTAAATAACCAAAAAGCCCTGCAGTTTTCCATAGCCTAAATTTTACTGATTGCCTTTTCATGGTGTAGTTCCACGTTTCACTGCCATTTCTATTTCTTGCAAATTGATAGCTAGATCCAAAGACTTGCAGACTCAAGTTTGATCTCTTTTGCAAAACTATAGCTAGTGCCGTGTTCTTTCATCAAGGACCACATAATGAGATATTAGGAGCATCTGATGCTCAATGACTACATCATTATCTGACTGGTAGCTGCAAAATTATGACATATAATAATATCATTTTTTTCATTTATTATTTGGAATACTTTTATAAAGGGATGCTTTTGCTCATCTACTCTTTGGTTATAAGTGACACAAATCATATAGGTAAAGTAGAATAAATGATTAAATCTCCTCCTTTATCAATTTCAAGATAACAAATTGATTTTCTTATTCTCTAGAGCTGAATGATTTTTAAAATACCGTATTTAAGCATATTTAATTGGTTTCAATTCACTGAAATAATTACCCTTTGGAAGCTTAATTATCCCATCTTTGGCCACTAGGAGCCTCTTCAAGTTGGCTCCTGAATTCTTTTGGCATGCTCTGGTAGTCTTTGAGAGTTTCTTCTCAATGTAGAATGACAGATATTCCAGGCTCATCTTGCACATTCCTTTCTGAGACCTGAAATCATCCTTTCCCCCCCCCCCAGGAAATGGTAATTCAAGACCACAGTCTAGGGATATTCATCGCTACTCGGTTTGCCATTATTTCTAAGCTTTTACTGTAGATAGACAGACTCCAGGTAAAATAGCTGGAGTTCATATTGCTACTTCCAGTTCAGGACTATAAGCTTTTTCTTAAGCTGTTACATCTGTATTTCCTTTCTTCCACACTGACAATCCTTTGTCTCCTCAAGGATACAAAGAATAATAGTTAGAATATCCCACAATCACTCACTTACTGAATGCATCTCTCATTCTCAGATAACAATATTAATATTAAGCCATCACCATATAATTTGATATTTAAAAAATGTTTTCATGTGTGCTCTCTCCATTTTATTTTTTATTTTTATTTTTTCAGATTTTATTTATTCATGAGAGAGAGAGAGAGAGAGAGAGACAGACAGAGACACAGGCAGAGGGAGAAGCAGGCTCCATACAGGGAGCCTGATGCAGGACTCGATCCCGGGTCTCCATTTCAAAATAGTTGTGTCATCTCTGACCATACAACCCTACATATTATATCTTCTCCCTTTTAGCTCACACTTGGTCTTGATATTCTGTCTCCTGCTCAGTACTAGTCCGTATGTCATTACTTCTCCAGTTATTTTGGTTTGTCTGAAGCTCATTTCTTTGTGGATTCTTCAGAAGATGAGGACCAATATTTCCTGAGAGAATTTGATTTTTTTCCCTCTAAGTCATTTGTTCTTTTTGCTTACATGACCAGAGGATATAGTAATTTGTAATTTGCAATTTTGTCTTTTTTATTATAGTTTTTTTTTTTATATATAGGTTTTTGTATCTTTTGGTTTCCTCTATTTGGTTTTCCCTTTCAAGGAATCCTATTGTTCATTTGTTCATTCTTTATTGCCTATCTTCAATAGATGTCACTGTCTTTCAGATCTTTTGATCTATTCTTTCATTTCTATTTTATTTAAACATTTTCCTTCCATTTTAGCTTCTGAAGGTATTATCTGTTGCATTACTTTTCTTTAAAGATTTATTTATTTATTCATGAGTGACACACACACACACAGAGAGAGAGAGGCAGAGACACAGGCAGAGGGAGAAGCAGGCTCCATCCAGGGAGCCCGATGTGGGACTTGATCCCAGGACTCCAGAATCATGCCCAGGGCCAAAGGCAGGTGCTAAACCACTCAGCCACCCAGGGATCCCCCATCTGTTGCATTATTAGTTCTTGCTTTCCTCCTAGTTCAGTCTTTATATTTGAAATTAATTTTTCTTTTTATGTCTAATTCTTCCCTCAATTCTATTAACTCATTTCTGAATTTTTGTAATTCTGAATTTGAATGCTTTTTTCATGTCTGAGATCATCTTCCTTATGCTGCTTATCTAGTTTTGAAGTGAAGTTTTTAGTTTTCATCTATTCTAAGGCTGTGCTTTTCTGTGTGCTTTCTTGTCTGTGGGGATATTATTCTGTTCCTCTTTTTATATTTTCTTATAAGAAATTTACATGAGAATTGACTAATTTTCTGTTGCTCATTTTGATGTGACATTAGTTTTCTTGAAGCTTTAGAAGAATGCTTGGTCCAATACAGCTCTTCTGACTTTAGAGAACTCCCTATTCTGTTGTCTTCTTGAAATGACCAAAAATAGTGGCTTGTTCCTTGAGGTTTTCTTGTTCTGTTTGCTGCTGGTCTTCTTGTGTGGACTTTCTTATGACTCTATCCTGTGATTTTGATTTTATTCCCAATGAGGGTCCAGAAAGGGAGTCTTGACAAGTCAATTTCAAGAATTCGTAGAGTCCAAGGGCACCTGGCTGGCTCAGTTAGTAGAGCACGTGACTCTTGATTTTGGGATTGTAAATTCAAGCACCACTTTGGGCACAGAGTTTACTTAATAAAAAAATAAAAGATTGGTTCTGAAACATCAGTGAGCTTCAGAACCACTTACAGTCTTAAAAAGAAAAAGGATTTATAGGCTTCAGTTTGTTTTGTTATTGCCCCTAGCCTTTGTATTTATCATATGATTCACTTTTATGATAACTACATTTTAAACTAAAGAATACAAAATGGCCTACCTATAAGACAGATTTTTGACAATTTGCCAAGACTTGAGAGAGAACATATCAAAAAGGATAATTAATTCATTCCATTCACTCATTTACTCTGTATTTATTATCACTAGGTATCATGCAAAGCCCTGAAAATACAAAAATAAACCAAATAGATGGATGTTCACATGGAGATTACAGCCTAAGTTAAGTATCTTATGGTATTATAGAAGTTACCTTTTAAAAAATGATTTCTAGTGAAAATATTAATATTGTTATAGTATAATTCATTATACAATTAAAGAGTTGGAAAGTATCAAGAAAAGCAAAAAATTAGCATCTTATATCAGAGAGAGTGTTAAGGATGATTTTAAAAATCCAGATAATTCTAAGAATAAAGTAGCACTGAAAAAGTATCAATGATGACCATTAAGAAAGTTCCCCTATATACAGTCTTCATAAAAATAATTCATAGACAAAACTTTTTTTTTTTTTTTTTACCTAGTATTTGACGGATTTCTGGCCATTCTCTCTGTACTTCTAGTGCAGACTTCAGCTTAGCACACAGAGGAATATAATCCATGTAATCAATTAATACACGAATAACGCTGCCTACCAAGTGTTTCATCCAAGGAACTGTAATAAACTCACAAAACTGAGAGAATTCATAAAATTTAATTTAGTAATACATTTAATATGCTATATGCATAAGCACTCAATTTTGTTATGAAAAATTACTGTCTTTCTTATTTTACAGGAAATAAAAGCATGCTCTTGTAATGAACAAAAAAGAAAAATAAATTGCTTGTATCTGCGAAACCACGAGCTCTGAAGCTTTATGCCTGACTCTGATGTGATTGCAGTCAACATAACATGGAAGAATCAGGTTTCTTTCCATGATTCTTTTTTCCATGTTTCCATCCCCAGTATTCCACAAAATAGGCATAAATTATTAATCGAAAACATTTTCATATGCCTCTACATTCAGTTTCCAATTCAAGAAAAAGAAATAATCTTGTTTGCATATTTTTATGCTTATACCCCCATATTATTGCAAAGAAAAATTCAAGAATAAGAAAAATATAAGAGTTGATTTTTCTTTTCTTATAGCATCCCTAAATGGGCAAAAGTTAGGATGATGACCCACCAGGAAGAAGAAAAGTCTGTAACTCACCGGGTTATCTTTTATTACACAAGATGTCCACCCTGGTAGTACCTCTTCTTCTATCTCTGACCACACAAATGTATTTCCAAAGATGTTCCCATGCATGCAGTCAAAGCACATCTCCACTCGATAGCCATTATTCAGCAACAGCCTCAGCATTACCTCGTCATTGAGGGCATACTGAATGGCACTGGGGAAACGCGTGTCATTCACGTGCATAAAATAACAATTGACGTTAGCTCCATGGGAGAGAAGCAGCCGGACAATTTCATGGTTATTGGCCCTCACTGCCACAAGTAGACAGTTGAGGGGATCTAGGTTTGGGTCTGCACCTGCAGCCAGAAGGACTTCTGTGCACTGGATGTCATTGTTAGAAACGGCAAAATACAGCGCCGTCTTCCGCTCGTCATCATAGCTCTCGGAAATGTGGTCAGCAAGCAGGGTATTGACATCAAAGCCATTTTCAATAAGCAGTTCTAGGCATTGCACATTTTGTCCATCTGCTGCAGAGTGAATTGGTGTTAGGCCACTTTTCTGGATTGCATTTTTGGATGTTACTGGGATAAGATACTTCAGAGCACTAAAAAAATAAATAAATATAAATATAAATATAAATATAATATAAATATAAATATAAATATATATTTATACACATGGCATGAAGACAATGAAGAATTTAAATAGATCAGCTTCCTTACCAGACAAGTGAATAGTTTGTTAACTTTCTTTATTTTCTCTAGATAACCTCCTACAAAAACATTTCAAACTAACCTTTGTCCATTGGCTGACTACTTAGTTTAGTTTAGTTTTGTTTTGAGTTTCCCATTCTAAATATTCCCAGGCAACATGCTGGAGGTCCTATGTTTGGTCCTAGAATTGTAGGTCCTCAGGAATCTTCCCATCTTCCAATTCTTTTTGGGATAATATAATACTTATAAACAACCAAAGTTGTTTAATGGAAAAAATATAAAAGGAAGATAGGCACATAGAAGAACACTTCATAGCCTTGACCATGAGAATCATGGAGTCACAGAAAGTGACCATGGACAGTGCTCAATCCAACTCCTCATTTAACAGAAGAGCAACAGGATGTCTGCAGAGGTGAAATGACTTGTCCAAGGTCACACAGTTGGATGTGGAGCAAGGACTAAAGTTTAGGCCTTTTGAATTCCCATTCCTTCTTTTTCACTGCTTCTTGAGTAGTCTATGCTTCAGTAGTGGCCTGATTCCATATAACTTGCAATTAAATTATCAGCCACCAAAAGAGTCTTTACTATTCTATCAACCTATATTAGTCCAATGGGTATAATTAACCACAAGCTTATGTTTCTAAGAACCTGTGATAAACAGTTGTGAATTTCACACTTGACAAAACAACTAGACACACATGAGAGCCACACGCAAGGAGAACTTGATCTCTTGTGCCTAATTCAGAGCTACCATGTGTGAATTTATGAACGCTGGGAGTAAATCCAGGTAAACTTTAACAACATGTCACTTAGCATCAATTACGTGTCATTGGCCACTTAACTTAGCTAATGTGGCTACTGAAAGTGATAAAGCCTAATGATTTAAAAGTTTTTGAACTTATAAAATATATTTAATTGCCTAAAACAATCCTCTTATGGTGGGTATTTAATATAGTGATTATAGACTTCTATTGATGTGATTATAGCACATCTCGTGATTTAAAAATCTATCCTACCATTTTTTTTGAATAAAGAAATCTGAGCTTATAATGAAACTTTTCTATTGAAGAAAAAATTTGACATTGTATCATAATATCTGTAGGTATTACTAAAAATTGGAATAATACTGGTAATATTGTCATAAAATCCTTTGCCAAAGGCAAAAGTTTTAGAAACCTATAGCCTTTTGTTAAGCACATTGATAAAAACCCAAAACAAAAGAGAAAGGCATGTTTGGGAGGCTTGTGCAGAATGCTGTTATAACTTCTTTCCTTCTAAAAGAAAAAAAAATTTTATTATAAAAGTAGTGTAAGTTCAATGTGGAAATTTCACAAGGAATATAAAAAGAAAGGGGAAAAATCAAACAAATATGTATATTTGTCTTTTTCTTTTCAGATTTCTTTTCAGTATATATAGGTAAACTTGAGATTCTACTGTATATTCAATTTTGTATTTTTCAATTTAAAATGATCATCTTACGATTTATTACTCACAGATAATGTCCCTCATAGGCAGCTCGGTGTATTGGAAGATGCCCTGCTCTGTTGGGTACATTTCCACTTCCTCCGTATTCCAGCAGGAGGGAAATGCAGTCAGGATTGCCCCCTCCTGCTGCCTCAAACAACACTGATGCCCCATCATCCGCCAAAGCAAACACATCACCACCTGGCAATATAAAACATATGGCATAGTGATAACTGGGCTTATCTTGAAATTGTCAAGATAGTCCCCTTAAAAATAACCTATTGTTTTCCCTTCCAGCTAGGACTTAGTATAGGAATCTGTATAGAACATCTGTGTTCCCAGTATTTTTTTTTTTAAGATTGTATTTATTTATTCATGAGAGACACACAGAAAGAGGCAGAGACATAGGCAGAGGGAGAAGCAGGCTCCCTGCAGGGGAGCCTGATGCAGGACTCGATCCCAGGACCCTGGGACCACGACCTGAGCCAAAGGCAGATGCTCAACCATTGGGCCACCTAGGTGCCCCCCCCCCAGTATTTTCAATAAACAATTACATGTGCATGTTTTGTTTTATTATAAAATATTTGCCTCACAACAGTGTCTGAGAAATCAACAGGTCAGTTTACACAAGTGCTTTGTTTACAAAAGTAAACAAAGTTTACTTTTACATTGTAGACAAGTGTTCCCAGGAAAGGGATAGTTAGCTTTTCAAATTGAAAGACAGTGTTAACACTCTATTTCAACAACTGCCCTCTAGGTGCTGTGTGTGAGCCAGCAGAAGATCCTAAAATGAATAAATATGACTACTGGAAGCAGCTCAGAGGGGAAATGAAACAAAATCTCATCAAAGAACACAAGCTGTGTAACATTCAAGTGACATCAGGATCAGGAATGGTGATATAGAAGGTGGTCTGGCTCTGCCGCAGACAGCAAGAGTCTGGGCAAGCTACGTCTATGAATATCAATCTCCTCATCTGTAAACTAGAGTAATGCTGCTTATTTCATAGAGCTCATGATAATTAAATGATGTTGCAGTGGGGGGAGGGGCTTCAAAAATGTTAGTCTCTCCAGAGAGGATCCTCGAGGGAGCATGTGGTCCCAGGCTTTATTTACAGATGGAGAAGCTGAGGACTGCGAGTTTTAGCAAGGCTAGGGTCGGACAGCAAAGAGATGGTGATAGAAGCCAGCTTAAGAATTTGGTCTCTTAATTCTTGGTTCTGCACTTGGAGGGCTCAAAGGAGGGCAACATCACAACCTGTTGGGAGAATCAAAAAAGTCTTTAGTGGGGGGGGGGGGTGTCTCAAGAGAGTGAGTTATGCTGGAATGTATTCCAGATGAGGGCCATGGCCTGGAGTAAGCCCAGAAAGAGGGAATGCAGGGTATATTCTGGAAGGTTGCTAGTCTCATTGAGCTGGAGTACAGGATCCATGTTGAGAGCAGGAGCAGTGAGGGATAGATCTGGAAAAACAACTTGGGATGACACAGTGGGGACCTGTGCGTGACTCAGACAGTGGGGAGCTGCTGAGAGTTTTCTGAATCCACCTTCAGGGAGAACAGCTGAGTGGCAGCATGTTGTATGGATTATCTGACAGGGAACCTGGAAACCAGCAGAATGGTTAGGCAATAGCTGCTCTGGTCCAGGAAGGATGTGAAGAGCCTGCCCGGGATGTCAGTGAGAACAGGTGAGAGAGACACTATGGGACTTGACAATTGACTGGATTTGGAAAGGAAGGTGATGGATGTAGAAGCAAATCTAAGTATTCTGTCTTGGTTGAGAGCAATTATTATGTCAAAAGTGTGAAAGAAGAGGAATTCAGTTTTGGAGAAGCCAAATGTGAGGCCCCAGTGAGCCATCTCAGTGAGACTGGGCCACCTCTAGTGAGAACAGGCAGGGCTGACTGCACAAATTTGTGGGTCATGACATTTGGGTGTAACCAATTTATGGAAGAGAGGGCTTTCAAGGGGGCTCTGAAGAGGCTGGATATAAAAGCCTAATGCCCAGTTACACTCAGGAGAGGACAGGCAGCCAATGAGGGATTGGAGAAAGGGAAATCAAGAGACAGAAGAATCATCAAGAATGTGCAATTCCTTTTCACGTACCTCTGTGGATCAGGTGTTCCAACACATCACAGTGACCATGCTCAGCAGCAACGCCTAATGGTGTAACCCCAAATCCATCTCTCAGGTGGACATTGCCTCCGTGATTTAGTAGCAGAGCTATGATATCTTTGCGGCCTAGTTTGGCTGCTTCATGCATTGCTGACCATCGCTTGATGCAGGGCTGGTCAAGGCTGGTGTTGTGTTTAAGCAGTGTGAACACCATATCATAGGAGCCATTTTTTACAGCTAGAGGGTGATTTTTAAAAAGAATATCAATAGTAGGTATATAACACGGATCCTTTAGATGGTATGAACTTAATTACGAAATTTAATATGAAAATAGATAGTCACTATTCCCTTCTCTTCTACAAGAGGATATTGTAGTTTTTGTTTCCTTCTATTTCTCATACCCAAAATGATGTTGCCTTTTTTTTAAGATCCTGGCCTGAGGTGGGGTGAGAGTCTCATGGAATATACTTCCCTAAAATAGGATGTTGTATATACTCTTTCTAAACTTTAGGAAATTAAAATAAATGAAAAAAAAAAACATCCACTATTGGGTTGTAGAACTTAATGTATGGAAATGCTTAGTGTATACTAGGAGCTCAATAAATTATAGCTGTTATTATTAATATAATATTTCTAGGATCCTGGGGCCACATGTGTAAATAATGCCTATCAAGCCCCCTCCCCACCCCCCAGAAATATTTTTTTTTTGTTTTCCTCCACCAAACATAGCATTGAGTATTAAATGAACTTCCCTTTCCCTGTGATCTTAATGGGAGGTTAGAAATGAGAATGTTTTTAGTTTTTTTGGAGAGAGCACGTGAGCAAGGGGACTCCTAAGTGGACCCCATGCCCAGCATGGAGCCCCATGTGGGGCTCATCATCATGACCTGAGCTGAAATCAAGAATTGGTGGCTTAACTGAGTTACCCAGGCAACCCAGCAATGAGAATGTTTAGAATCTAGGTAGTTTAGAATCTGTTGTAAACAGGTGAAGCATATGACAGCTAATGTAATACAGTGCAAAAGACTCACTGGATCAGTGGTCTCTCTCCCCTTCTGCTATTTCTAATAGATTGAATTACAGTTAAAAGCAACCCCCCCCCCCCATTTGAGTTAAGAGATTGTCTTAGTTTAGAGATAAATAACTCTGGAATATATGATGTTTCTCTTATCAGTAAGTAAAATCTTTTTTCTTTTTTAAATTTAATTATTTGAGAGAGAGTGAGTGAAAACGTGTGCGCACAAGTGAAGGAAGAGGTAGAGGGAGAGAATCTTCAAGCAGATTCACTCCTGATGCAGGGCTCCATGTCACAACGAGATAACGAATGACCTGAGCTGAAACCAAGAGTCAGACATTCAACTGACTGAGCCACCCAGTAAGTAAGGTGCCCCAGGAAGTAAGATCTTAATAAGAAACAGAGAAGGATGAGTGATACTCCTTGCTAATAGAGGTAAATAGAGTTTTATTCATTCATTCACTCATTCAGTTCAGGCACTCAGGCTATATGAAAGGCACAGTGTCAGACACTGTGGACAACAGGAAAAACATGGACTGGTTCTCACTTATGCAATTTATAGTCTAGAGAAGAAGCCTATAGTGTCTTCTATTTGAAGAGAGACTCAGAGTTAAGGTCTTCACTGGGAAAGGCAGGAGGAGATGAAGAGCCACACAGAACACTCTGGAGGCAGAATACAAAAAGCTTTGAAGGTGAAGGCAAGAGAAAGAGCTCCCACCGGAAGATGAAGACAAACTCTGCCTAATTCATTTGGAGCAGGGAAACCATTACTATGGTGAGATTTCACTTTTTCTCCTGCTCACTAAGTAGGAGCCTGTTGACAAATGCCTTTCCCTGGATTGCCCACCTGCCACTGGCAGCTCTAATTATAGTGAATTGCCTCATCCTAGCTGGTGTCATTGCAGAGAAAAACATCAATAAGTGAAATGAACTAAAAGGTATGTGTCCTCGTTTATCTTCTTGTTCCTGTTGCATTTTTTAAAGTATTAAACTAATGAATCTCTTCTATTGTGATCTATTTTCCTTTTCACTCAGAAAATATGTTGATTAGAGATATTAGTCTTTCCTCACGAAAATATCATGTATAGGCCACAACTTAAAATCATTTTAAAAATAAAGCCTTACTTGCAATTTAATTGTTTTAGAGCTAAGAATATATTTATTTCCCATAAAAATAATACTGCAAATCCTGGGGGACCTCTCCCTAGCTAGCCCATGAAGATATTCTTAATAAATCAATAAATAAATCGCCAAGAAGAAAATTAGGAAAGTGCCATGGATGATCCATTTTCCTACAGAACCTAAAAATACTTGACCTGGGCTCCACAAAGAGAAGATAATCCAAGAAAATCCCCATTCTCCAGTTATGTGGATGATGGAAACATAAACAAACCCTTTCAGAAAATGTCCTTCATGAGACTTTTTTCTTTTCCTGATATTACTGTGTAGCTTTTAAAAAATATTATTTCCAGATATTCTGTTTTGACTCTGATAACTCAGTGACCAACTTCCTTTCCCACACTTCAGATATTGCTAGAGCAGAGAAACCAACATATGCAACTCCAAAATGCACATAGGTGTTATACTATATGTTGGCAAATTGAACTCCAATAAAAAATATACAAAAAAAAGAAATGCACATAAATGCCTAATGCTTTGTTGTAAGCATTAGGCATTAAAGAAAAACAGAAGCAAATAAAGCAAAAATAAATCAAATGAGTGATAAATCATGACTTAGTTGTCCCTAACTTAGTGAATTGAGAATAGCAAGTAGAGAATAATTCTGCATTTGCAAAATGAGATGGTATACAAACTCTGGAAAAGTGTATATGTGTTTGTTTTTTGCAGAAATCAAACATCTATAAATATCTACAGAATTATCTATAGAAACAACTACACATACCTGGATGTCATTGCAAATACCCCATGGTATTTGCCTTTAAAAATAATACAGATCACATTAATAGTGGTGATGCAACCATAGATGAATATTCCATTTTGTATGTATAGAACCTGCTCAGGATAAGAGTTCTGGTTTACTTATAATAAGCACAATGTTATTGTGACAAATTTCACTACTCTACATCCATAAATGACAGGAAATGTCATCTCTAGTCCTTTGTAGTTAATATCACCTTACTCTTACAAGCAGACTTGCCAATTTTTATTGGTCAACAAAAATAGTAGGACACACAGACTGAGACGGAACTGATAAACGTTACCCTTAGGTTTACCATCATTCCTTGTATCATAGTTGTAAACCCCATTGTAGGTGCCCAGTGCTGAATCTATGTGGTCCGAATTTCCTGGCACCTCATTGTTCTGATGTGAACCTGGTATCTCTGTTTTGAACTTCCTTTCTCTTTCTTCTGGCTACATACTGCACATGCGACTCTACCTTCAATCAGAACCTACCTAGAGAATATTCCTTCAGAACAGGTACTTCTGGCCTCACAAAGCTCCAAGGTTGGATCTCTCCTAGTTAGCTGGTGATGGAGGATCTTTCACATTTGACCTCTTTGTAGGATTAAAAACCCAAAATTATAAGGCAGATGAGCTAGGTGTTAGGGGAGGAGCTCAGGGAATAGAAGGAGATGAGGTCACATAACTTTATGCATAGTGGTTTCCAATAAATACTTATTAAATATTTCTTTGTCTCAAACTATAAAATTTCTAGAAAAAAAAGGGCATTTACCAATCAGAAGGGGCGTCTCTCCTTTGTCATTTTTGGTGTTTGGCCACACTCCCTTTTCTAGTAAAGTTCTTACGTTTTCCACCAGACCAGCTTTGACTGCCAAAGTCAAGGGTGTTTCTCCATCAGAGGTCTTGAACTCCCAGAGTGTCTGGTAGGATGCTGAAATGTAAAAATATTGTATAAAGTTAAAAATCTTTACTTAAAGGATATCACAGAGATCAGAATAATCCAATATTATGTATTCTAGATTGAACAAAGTCAATTGATGAAAAGGAAAGATTAAAAGACATGATCCAATTTTATCAAATGATGGTGAGTATAAAAAGATAGGCATGAACTTGACAGAAAACTAAACTCTATGTTTCAAGGTGATTTTTTTAAATGGATTACAAGCTCTTATTTTTTGATAAATTGTAACAACTCCTCAATCCTTTGTAGCGTTATTTAAATTGCACTTGAAATTGGCTTGTGTCAAATGAAATCTGTGAGTGTGGGAATAGGAACATATTTGAATACTGTCAGAATATGTTAGAAAATACCATACTTAACATCATCTTCTGTATCTGTTTGTCTGATTATTTAGTTATCTTTTTTTTGCTTGCTGGCTGGATAGTAAATTATCAAGTAGCTATGACTGTCTCCTGGAGTGTAGAATGACAGAGTAACATTGAAGTTTATTGAAAGCACACTCACAAGATGTTTTAAAAGTTGCCAAGATTGGGACACCTGGGTGACTCAGTGGTTGAGCATCTACTTTCAGCTCAGGGTGTGATCCTGGTGTCCCAGAATCGAGTCCCACATCGGGCTCCCTGCATGGAGCCTGCTTCTCCCTCTGCCTCTGTCTCTGCCTCTCTCTCTCTCTGGGAATCTCATGAATAAATAAATGAAAATATTTTTTTAAAAAGTCGCCAAGATATGACAAATATTGTGCTAGAACATCAGGATTATAAACATTATTAGTAATACTTAACCCTGGGTCAATTTACCACGATATTTACTGTTTGCATTATGAAAAAATTAATGTAACACAAGCACAAAATATTGCAAATGTACTTATTACATGATAACAATCTGCTGGAAACTGTTAAGAGATAATTCAAGATGAAAAATTAAAAGCTGACTCCCAAAAGCAAAACAGCTTTGTATTCAAATCAATCAATTCATGATATGTATAAACTTTTATTATTTTTAGGTTTTAACCACCTCTTTGAGCCATCTTCAGCCACATTCTTAGAAGGATGCAAATGGTGAACTCTGAACCCCACAAAATGTGCTACTTTTTTTTAGAGGGAGAGTATGGGTGTGGGGGTGAGGGAGAGGCAAAATCTTAAGCAGGCCTCATGCCCAGTGTGGGGCCCCACGTGGGGCTCAATCTCACAATGAGATCATGACCTGAGCCAAAATCAAGAGTCGGACACTTAACTGATCAAGGCACCCCATAAAATGTGCTGATTTTTATACTCTGAGTATAAAACATGGATATTCTCTTTCCCATATTCCAAATAATCTTTTACTCTTTTTCTTTTCACTTGTGTTTGTTGGGAACACTCATAACTTCTACATTTTTGCTTCGGTTTGGTCAAAGGGATTTTATGTTCTCTTACCATCCAGAACAATTTCAAGTATTTGTTGAATGGGTTGAACAACAGCTTCGTGCAGCGGAAACCATCCTTTTTCATCAGCTTCATCCAATGCATATTTATATTTCACATATTCCTGGAGCTCAAGAATGTGACCTAAATTAAATGCACGGTAACATGTCTGTCTCAGCAAAGTGAACTCTCCAACCTGTCCTATTATAGGAAATACACCCATTTACCTTGTTTTATGGCTTCCACAAGTTTTCTGTTTTGATCACTTAGTGGTGCAAATCTACCAGAGAAAGAAAAATAAGCCATATTTATCCCAGTGGTGTACTTTAAACACTTAACTTATACTGACTTTTTGTACATGATTTTAATAATCAAGATCTACAAGAAGTGCACATAACTGATTCTATCTACTTTAAAAATGCAAATGTTTAAGAATCAGATACAGAGTATATTTATGATACAGTAGACCTAGGCACGTTAGTACGGATGACGGAATACAAGATCATCATGCTATCTCTGAAATTAGTTCTAAGCAATGGAAGCAGAGTAAACAATTGTAATCAGAGTCAGAAGAGCTGGGCTCAGATTTCATGATTTTGTGATCCTGGGGAGGCCAGTTAGCCTCTCCGGGTAGTGGTTTTTTCATCTCTAAAATGATGAGATTAAATAGATCTCTAAGGATTCTTCCAATTTTAAAAACTATGCTCAGTAAGGTTTGTTGCCTTGAAGTTAATAACTGCTAATTCATAGTTTTTTAATTGGGAGCTTCTGCCTGTTAGAGTCTTTAATCCACTGATTTACAAGAAAATAGGCTGAGCATTTACTAAACAAACTTCTAGTCATCGACCCAACAGGCTGTGATTTCAACCCTCATGGCAATTCTCTGGTGTGTGTGTTTATTCAAAAGAAACAAGGTATTTCTTAACAAATCAAACTCTATTAAGTAGAAACATCTGTTGGCATTATAGGGTCATGAAAGCCTTCTTAGGAGCTCTGTTGGAGATAAAGGAAAAATTAAAGAGACCCAATGTAAAGGTACTATGTCCATTTTTAAGAATAAATAAACATTTATTATTTATTTTTTATTTATTAAAAGCAATAATTTTATAGCCCTATTCAAAAGCACTAAAAAATTCCAAAATACAAGATTCTCAATACTATAACAGAATGCAAACTAAGGTTTATCTTTGTCAGAAGTATAATGTATGTTGTTCAAGGTAGAAATCTACCTTTTCAGTTTCATACTCTATAACTCCTGCTAACATAAAGCATTAATTTTGTATTTAATTTACTAACATCTGTCATTTGGATAGTAGGTAATTAAAGAGACTGTGGTTTACATAATGCTGGTTTTCAATAAAAGCCCTCAACTCTTTCTCATTCTTTGGGGCTAAACTTAGGGGCTACCCCATATTATTTTTCACAGTGTGATGATCTAAAAATGAAGTACATTACTTATAATGGTTGTCTGAGTCAGTAGCAGAATGGGCTCTAAAATGTTCAGAACAGACTTCTGTATACCTATCTATATTTTAGTTGTATAAATTGTACTTGCAAATTTGTTCAAATGACTTCTTGTCCTTTTTATTCTATATTAATTTTTAAAAATAGGCCATCCTATGCAACCAAATTCAACCATTTAGGTTGAATTTCCTATTTAGAATTTCCTATTTAGGTTATTCACATCTTCCACAGAAGGTGGGGATTTGTGGAAGGTCATATTGCCAAACCTATACACAGTGGCTCTTGTAAAGCTATTGATTCTCTGCTAGAAAAGAAGAATAATCATTTTCCTAGAGGAAGAGTCAGGAAGTGTCTTTCATTTGATCTGACAACAAAATGAATGCCATAAAGAAATTTTGTTGAGGACAATTTGAATGTTACCTTTCAGAATAAAATACAGACTTGCTGGCTTCAATGGATTCTTGAATACTGAGCTGAATATCATAACTTGTAAGATGGTCGTCATCAGGGTCATCATTAGTATCCATGACTGGGTATAATTTTGAAAGAGGCAGTTTCTTATTATCAGCAAACGACATAGAACAGTACATACAGTTAATGTGAAAAATGCAAAATGAAGGACTAAAATGCATTCATCTTTCCCCATTGAACAAATATAAATGCAGTTAACATATTCATCAGTATTATATATGAAGCCCAACCTAACTTTTGAAACCTTTAATTACTTGCCCTTTGCACGTCTGCATTTTCTAATTTGGGACTTTTTTTTTTCGTTAATAACTGTAGTTAGGCTTGTAAGAACTCATTTTCCCATGCTTCTGACTTACACTAATCTCAGCCTACCAGTTGTCTGAAGATACTGCTCTACATAGCACATTAGAAGTTTAAAACTCAAACCAAGAAGAAGTAAGAGACAGGAATAGAGAACAGTGAGCCTTTCACATTCTTAACTTTTAATGCTGTGTCTGCTTATTTACTAATTTATTCCTTTCCTCACATCAGTAATGGTTTTAACTGGCTGCCTTGAACTGCAGTTATTCGGTCTTTGTGTCCAACTTCCTCTAACAGACTCTATGCTCTTTGAGGTAAGGGCTTTACATTACTTATCTCTGTGCCTTTTAGGACTCTAGAAGGAGCTTGGCCCAGAGAAGCTTCTTAATGAATTAAACAAAACAGAGAAGACATGAAGGAAACTTTGAGTAGAAAGAAATGAGAACTGGGGCACCTGGGCAGCTCAGTTGGTTAAGGATCCAACTCAATCTCAGCTCAATTCTTAATCTCAGGGTCATAAGTTCTGGGGATCATGAGTTCAGGCCCTACATTGGGCTCCATGCTCAAAGTGGAGCCTATTAAGGGGGAAAAAAAAGGAACTGATCTTTCAAGCACTTTCAAGTTATTCTTCCTGAGTCACTACTGTCTAGTCTCACATATGGAGTGAACAAGTTTCAAAATTCCAGAACTTTAAAGTAAACAGGAAAGGGTTAATCTGATAAAACCAGCTATAAGTTCTTAGAGAACTTTCTTATTGACTGGCTCTGTTCAGTGTGATAGACCACATGATTCTCTGGGTACTCCAGGAAATCCACTTCTATGGACTTGTGCTACCTGCATTCCTGGCCATGGAAAGATCCTTTCTGACACCTTGCATCCTTATTGCAGTTAGGGATGCTGGAACTACTACTACAGGGGTAGATGTGGTAAAGACTGACTTTATTAAGAGAGGCTTAGTTGTGGGAGCTTCCAGCAGGTAAATAAACCTGGCAAACAATAGGCAGAATAAAAATGAATTTGTGCTTTTGAAGAAGCGCAAAAAACCAGAGAGTCTTGTGGGCTGATTTACATAATACTAGTGGCTCTCTCTAATGCACTCACTTGTTTCAACTAAGTCAGAGCCACCACGAGAGGTTATACAGGATGTGTACTATACAAGTGTTCCTGGCCAAGGAAATTCAGCCAAATCTACCCGGTCATATTGTACAATCTGGCAGAGTGCTATGCATGCCTCCAAGGAAGCAGTATCTTCTTATTTGCACCAAAGTACTAAGGCCCATGAAATTCCTGAACTGAGTTGAGCATTTTTCCAACAAAAGGAAGTTAAACAACAACAACAAAGGCTAATTATTTAGTGTTTTGGATAATAAATGAGGAGAGCTATCTTTTAGCAGCTCGTTTTCCAGTCTTTTCCCAAAGTGGAAGGGTCTTAGGATTTGGTTACCCTCCTTCAGAAAAGATAAGAATATTGTGGTAGTGATGTTCATGATGCTTCTTGACTTGAACCTTCATATGACTATTGTTTGGTCCCCATGTTTTGTTTTCTGGCTGGTCTAGCAGTCTCAGAGCATCATTTGAACAACTGAAATAAGAACCATCTTAACTCCATCCTCAGACCAGAGACCAACCCTCCAAGAGAGTCTCCATTCCTCTCCCTGCATAGCTCTGTCCATTACAAGCCACTTCCCTGAAGATAAACACAAAAATGTAAATTATTTCTCATTGGCTTATGTATTCCAAATATCAAATTAAAGGAGTGTCTGTCATTACTATTGGATCAACTACTCTCTCTTACTTTGGAAGGAAATTTAGTAAGTGTAGAAGTCAAAATAATTCTATGACTAGGTTTAATGATCAGTATGAAATTATTTTTGATTGGTGGTACTTTATGAGCCAAAATGTATGACCTATTTGAAATTTTACGTGGTAGTGTGTCTTTCCAAGGAGAAAAAACAAAAGCAGTTTTCCATGGGCAATTTTCAAAACACAGCTGATATATGCTTTACCAACTTTCATTGTTCAAATTTAGCTAAGCTCAAACTTTAAGGACAGTTCTACACATGCTGCTAGCTAGCGTACCTGACCTGGGAACACACTGCACGTGAACTCGATGGCATCATTTTGATTGTATTTTCATTGCTCTGCACCAGGGCCTACTATTATCGTGGAACATAAAAGAGAGAATAGTAATAATGTTGGAAGACTGCCCATGAGAGTAGCAGCATCCCCTAAGCACATTGCCTCATACCATGATATCTCAGTCTACTCAAGAAGCCAACATGTGCCCTCAGGGTCTTATTCACAAAATAGATTCAAGTAGTGTTTTATTTTTTATTAATTATTCATTGGTTCATTTTCTATCTCCTCTCCCTAGGACGTAACCCAATAAGACCAGAAAATTAGTCTGTATCTAGAGAAGTACCATCTTAAGGCCCGTAGTCTCTAAATGTGTGTTGAATTAATGAGTGAATGAATGAATGAGTTAGTTAAGGACCCACTAACATAAGCTAGGCCCTGCTTTATTCATACAACTGACCATGGTACTCAGGTATGGAGTATTTCTTCCAACAAAACAAATCTGATGGCCCACTCTGCGCTTGGCTTCATTTTTCTCACTTCTGTGCTTTCACATTTTATTCTTCCTCATGCACAAGTCCCTCCAGCAGTTCCACAATCATGGCCCATACTACCTCAGGCCTGGTTCACAATGTTCCTCCCGTGGAAGCCTTGCTGAAATGTTCCAGTTCCCCTCTGGCCTTCCTTATCTGTAAGCATCTCCTCCCACATGATATTTTTCTAATATCTGGATTTATACTCCTTTTGTATTTGCCTGGCAAGTTCTTCACATATTTGTGTTTTGTGTTTGTACTTGGATTATTAGTTTTCTGGGGGAAGGAAGTACCTTACTTTCTTTTTCTTTTCTATCTTTTCTCTCTGCTTCTACTCCTAGTCAACTGGGAGCAAATGGGTGTTCTCAGTGCAAAAAAGTTGTTGACTCATTACTAGCAGGTGAGCACTGGGTCCTTCAGACAGCACAATTAGATCATGAAGTTCAACCTGTGGTATTGCCTGCCGCCTTTCTCACTGGTATCACTGTGGTGATAGGGGGATTGCATGGCTCTGGGATTAGTAATGGAATCCAGAGCCTTTAACCTATTTAAATCATCAGCCCAGTTCTAACCCTGCTTGAAATTTGGACTTCCAGTACCATAGACTCCTTAGAGAACTGAGTTGATCTGTGGAAAGTTTTGTTGTTGTTGTTGGTTTTAAAATGTCATTTTAACTTCCATCCAGAACAGAATTATCTAAGGCTTTTAACTGTTTTGTATCCCTAACAACTGCTGGGTAGAAATAGTTAGGAAACTCTTAGCACATGGTACAACCCCTACCTAACACAAGCTGTCTCCAACCTTTTACTGAAAGCTTGGGACGAAATGAAGATCTGTGTGCAGGTGCACTGAAGTGTCAGGCAGACAGTCAGAGAACATCACTGGAATGAACCCAGAGATGTTGAGATGCAAGAAGAGCATCAGAGGAGAGTTATTTATCTGTATCTCAAATTTAAAATGACCAGGACTCGATCCCCACTGAAGGCTGGCAGTAATCTATTGGCCACCTTTATGTAAAATTGTTTAGATAAAGCAACCAGGAATTTGAGGAAAGGCCAAATAATATTTTGACCTCCTTTAAGACCTCTTCACAGGGACTCTACTTCTCAGTCTAGAGAAAGTACCTGACCCTTTCTAAATAATGGTTTGCCAGTCTTATTCTGGAGATGCCCACTAGTGAGATTTATTTATTACTGATAAGTAGCTGCTTGCCAAATACCTAGAACAATTATATTGGACAATTAACATTTTCATTTAAAGCATGGGTTAATCATTAAGAGATGAATGGATAAAGAATGGAGAGATGAATGGATACGTATAATGGAATATTATATAGCCACAAGAGGATGAGATCTTGCCATTTGCCACAACACGGATGGACCTAGAGAGTTTATGCTGAAGGAAATCTGTCAGACTGAGAACAATAAACACCATGATTTCATTCATATGTGGAGTTGAGAAAAACAAATGAAAAAACAAAAAGCAGGATCAGGCCTATAAACATAGAGAACAAACTGATGGTCACCAGAGGGGGATGATAAAAATGGGTGAAGTGGAGAAGGAGGTACAGGCTTCTGGTTAGGGATGAATAAGTCATTGGAATAAAGGCACAGCATAAGGAAGATAGTGATATTGTAATAGTGCTGTGTGGTGGCAATGGTAGCTACACTCGCAGGGAGCATAGCATAACATAGGGAATTGCTGAAACACTGGGCTGTACCCCTGAAACTGATGTAACACTGTGTGCCAACTATACTCAAATTAAAAATATTTAAATGTAAAATAAAAATAAAATGCTGGTTAACCTTCCTTAATGTGTCAAGAACACATTCGATGAAAGCACTGGATTCTCTCTCCAGAGAGATGCATACCTACTCGAAATTCTGCATAAAATTTTGGAGAATTCATGGGTCCTTGGAAGCCCTGTCACATATCCCAGTAAAAACCCACCAAATTAATGATTTCCAAGTGCTAAATGTATTATTCATGTATCAGTAATTATTAGTTTACTTCATAGGCGGGCTGAGTAAAATCCTAAATTTAGATAGTGGGAAAAGGGTAAGTGGTGGTCATGTAAGCTTTAGAATATCTTCAGTACTAAAAAACCCTCAGTGATTATAAACCCACTTTGTGTACATTGCCTTGCTTTAAACTACCCAATTCTACTTTGTCAGTATTACAGATTCACTGTGTGTAAGTGGAAACTGACCCACTCAATGTCTCAGAGCTATTGAGTCTGGAGAGAGCAAGGTAACTTCATTTTTAAGGTCTTTCCGAAGCAGCAGGAAAACAACCCACAGTCTGTTGCCCTTTAAAGAAAACACTTTGATCTTGCTCTTAACAGCCAGCTCTAAATGACAATAACTTCCAAAAATAAAAAATAGCTTACAGGGACAAATAAATCTTTATATTTGGCTCCCTGCAATAAGGCTTTGTGTTGCTGGGGGTGGTCTGCGGTGTCCTAGGCTTGTCTTCATTCTGTACTTTTTGTCTTGGAATCTAAACATTACTGTCTTTAAAAAAAAGGATCCGTATACCAGTTGGTGCCTGACTGAAGTGGTCAGGAGGTTGGGATGATGTTGCAAGGGATGATGCAGGATTGAACACGAGTACATGACACCTCTCTCCAGCATCAGATTCTCTAAACTACCTCCAGTCCATGTTCCATGTTAACACTGTACTGTTAATAAGTTTGGGGGTCCTAAGCAGGGCTGGCTGTAGCAGTTTCCAGAGTGTACAATCACTTCCATGTAAGGAAGGCCTTTGTGTCCACAAATATCACATTGCCCCTGGCACCTGTCACCTGAGTGTCATTCAGTTGCATCAGTGAAAGATTCTTTTCTTTAGGGTTTATTGTTCCATCTTCCAGTGTCCCTTTTAAAATACCAGCAGCACTATACTGGTTCCCAGTGTAGGACTAGGATTTTTTGAAATAGTTACTGAAGATGGCATGGGGTGGAGAAGATGGCAGCGTGTCTAAGACAGAGTCTAGTGGGAGGTACTAAGGGGGAACAAGTAAAGGAACATACAGTAAAATTTAAATTTCTTTACAGTTTTACACACAACTCAAATCCAAACCCAGAGGTTCTGCTGTGTGGAATGGGGGACCCTCATACCCTGAGGCAGTTTTTTCTTACCCTCAAACTGCTACAGTTTTTGAGTGATGTGTTCATCTACTGGAGGTCCCAGAGAAAATCATCAGCATCTGTACTATCAGAGGAATAGCAATAATGAAACAGGAGTTTCATGTGTTGGTTTTGCTAAGAAAATACAGTTATTATATCCAAAACAGCATTCATTGTCACTTTCCTGCATTTTGACCACTTCTATTTGTAATCTTAACTATATATTAAAATCAATATAAATAAAACTTCGTTATAACTTTGGTATTTACTCGGTGGCTATGGACTTTTGCTATTTCAGAATCCTGTGAAACAAAGTGTCTAATCAGATCAGTGGCTTCATTGGACTGATTTTAGCAAAATCAACCAGTCAACTAAGAGATTTCAGAGAGAGCTAAAATTCTGTCAGAACTGGGGTCCAGTCCATAGACACAGGTAACTTTTATTTATAAGTAATGTTACAGCAACTCCCTCCTCATGGTGTAATTTTATACATGACAGGGAGACCTAGACCATTTCTTCCTTCCTCAGTAGCACAACTCACTCTGCTGATAAATTGAACACACACACACACACACACACACACACACACACACAGTTCAAAAACTGAATGTTACTTTTATGTTGCCTCAAAGAGATACAACTCGACATTTTAGAAAACATACAGAGGCAAAATACACTATTGCCTGAATAAATGAGTGATTGAATAATCAAATATATACTACTCATAAAATTAGCAAATTAATATACTCACCCTGCGTTTTTTGTGTCATATGTTTTTACAAGTTCATTTCCGGCTTTGGAGCTGCATTAACTGAGGCTTAGTTTCTAGGTAAATATACTGTTGATAAGACCTGTCATATTAGTTTTGCTTATCTCTAGTTTCATATTACAAAATTAGATATTTTTACTCTCTACTATTGGTTTCTATGTCAAATTCAATTACAACAGAGATATGGGAAGATGTGTACTAGTTTGTGCAAATGATGCACAGAACAGGAAGGAACTCTAGATTCACAAATAGGTGGATCTCTAGAGGAATATAAACAGAATAGAAAAGAACAGAGTGGGGAATCCCTGGGTGGCGCAGCGGTTTGGCGCCTGCCTTTGGCCCAGGGCACGATCCTGGAGACCCGGGATCGAATACCACGTCGGGCTCCCGGTGCATGGAGCCTGCTTCTCTCTCTGCCTGTGTCTCTGCCTCTCTCTCTCTCTCTCTCTCTCTCTGTGACTATCATAAATAAATAAAAAAAATTAAAAAAAAAAGAACAGAGCAAGCATGGCCCATGAAAAGGTAACTTATTAATGGATGTGCCCTTATAACAAGCTTGAGTGATAATATGATTTTTTAAAAGCCCTACCCTTTATCATTCTAAATCTGGGGATCTATCTTGCAGAAGTGATCAGAGATGTGGACAAAAAATTGCATGTGAAAAGGTTCCTCTCAGTCATATTTAACTCCCAAGACATTAGAAATAATAAAATATCCAACAAGAGGAAATTTGTGTGAGACATTATTGTATACCTAAGTAATGGAAAACTATACATCAACTAAAATTCATATCCTTGAAGAATATTTATTGCCATGGATAAAGTGTCATCTATGAGAATGATGTTCATTTAATCAGATATGATCAGCCACTTGGAAGGAACTAAAATTGACTTTATGAAGCCAAAGCTTACAAAGCCTTCCAGAAAACTGGCCTGGCAGCTGGCTCACAGGCTGAACCTTACAGGTGATGAAATAGGCCACTTCTTGACAGGGACCTTGGTGACTTTGAGAAGAGAGAAATTTGCACAAATTTATAGGTAAGCAGGTGAAAACTGATGGAGAGAGTTTCTTGGCTTGTGGAAAAACAGAAATCTGGAAGACTGATCCATCTACTTGAATCACCCAAAAGTAAAAGCTTTGTTACCTAAGTTATTCTACCAGTCTGCATGAGACCAAAAGTTCATTTCCCACTAATTAGTGAATGGCAGTTTCTGAGGAAGGTGAGGCCAGTTATAGACCAAAAAAAAAAAAAAGCCACATTTATTTACATAACTGAGTTATAGGGTAAGTAAAAAATGTTTCGACTACATTAATTAGCTACAATAACTCTAAAAATGAAATGATGTCTCTAGACATTAATAAAAGCGTTATGTACTATATATGTATATGAACACAACACTGTAGTATGTCTATACTATTTATATGGCATATGCATATACTACTATACGTACGTGTTTATTTGACACGACAGAAGTTTCTGTCTGAGGCTCAAGTCAAATCTTTTCCCATTCAAAACTCAAGCAATAATGAGCCACTGCATTTCTTCATATTTTCTTTTGAAATCACACACAGGCTATTGATTTCTTTCTGGGGGAGACAGTTGGGTATTACAGTTGAAATTTTGTTCAAATCCTGCCCTCTGGATTAGCTGCCTCATTAACTCTGTTTGATGTGAGTACTCAGCAAACATTACCTGTAATTTTTCTGTAGTTGAACTCTTCTGGAATGAGGAACTAGAATTCTAGGGGTTGTTTGGCAGTTTTAGCTCTATCCCTTACCCTTGACCAGGCACTCTGACATACTCATTATTTCCTTCTTCCTTTTCTCTAGAAGCACCAGACTTCGGAGTTGACCATTAGGTTACTCCACCTGTAAATTCCATTTACAACATGTCCAACAAATAATTATCTCCCCTCAGCCCTTACCAGCAAAGTGACAGGAAGTTCACTATATCCCCACAGAGCTTTTCATCTTTGGTCAGCTTTAACAATTAGGAAAAAAGTGAAGTTGAATCCATCTCCTCAAATCATTATTCTGTGATCCCAGTTCTATTCCTCTGAGTCACACAGATAA